AAAAAGAGATTTAACAGACTCTAAAAAGTCAAAAATCGTAAAAAAAATCTTTGAGAGGGATGCAGCACTCATGAAATTGCTAAGATATTGGGGCATGATCAAAGAACCATCAAACGTGTTGTTGCAAATAGTCAACAGGGTCACAAGAAACGTGTTGAGAAATAAGACGCAAATTAACTGCCAAAGATTTGAGAAGAATCAAACACACAAGTTGAAACGTCAAGACCGGGCCAAGAAACATCTGAAGACAGACTGTTCAAAGGTTTTAGGGACTGATGAGATGAGAGTGACTCTTGACAGACCAGATGGATGGGCCCGTGGCTGGATCAGTAGCAGGCTCAGAGCTCCACTTTGACTCAGACGCCAGCATGGTGGAGGTGGGGTACTGCTCAAGGCCAAGAGGCTTTTATTGTCATTCCATCTATGTACAAGTACACAGTGGAGGGAAATTACGTTCCTCCAGGAACAACACGGTGCAAAAAGTACAAAGTGTGAATGTGCAGACAGAGTGCAAACAAAAACAGTAAAGAGACAGGACAGTGCAGCGCCGACACAGCACTCATTTCTGAGCATGAGGTAGTGAGAATAAGGGATATTTAACATAGGGCGGCACGGTGGAGCAGTGGGTAGCGCTGTCGCCTCACAGCAGGAAGGGCCTGGGTTCGATTCCCGGCCGGGTGACCAGGGTCATTTCTGTGTGGAGTTTGCCTGTTCTGTTCTCCCCGTGTCTGCGTGGGTTTCCTCCGGGTACTCCGGTTTCCTCCCACAGTCCAAAACTGACCCTAGGTGTGAGTGTGTGTGTGAATGTGTATGTCTGTCTGTCTGCCCTGCGATGGACTGGCGACCTGTCCAGGGTGAATCCTGCCTTCCGCCCAATGACAGCTGGGATAGGCTCCAGCACCCCACCGCGACCCAGAAGGATAAGCGGTTTAGATGATGGATGGATGGATATTTAACATGCTGTGATCTGTGAGTTTACTCAGTCAGATAACATACATAAACACAGCAGTTACTGAGGTAGTAAAACAGTGTAAACACAGTATTTGGAGCAATGTTCCAGATAGTGCAAGTAGTGCATCAAAAGAGGTGTGTGTGTGGAGTTGATTGCTTGAGGGACAAAGCTGTTGCAGAGTCTGGCAGTGATGGCACGGATGCTCCGGTACCTTCTGCCAGACGGCCGCAGTGAAAAAAGTCTGTGTGAGGGATGGACAGGGTCGTCCACAATGCTGGTGGCTTTCCGGATACAACGTGTGGTGTAGATGTCCATGATGGAGGGGAGAGAGACCCCGATGATTCTCTCAGCTGTCCTCACTATACGCAGTAGGGTCTTGCGGTCGGAGGCGGTGCAATTCCCACACCAGGCGATGATGCAGCTGCTCAGGATGCTCTCCACAGTCTCCCTGTAGAACACAGTGAGGATGGGAGGGGGGAGATGAGCCTTCTTCAGTCTCCGCAGGAAGTAGAGGCGCTGCTGGGCTCTCTTGGCTATGGAGTTGGTGTTGAGGGACCAGGTGAGGTTCTCTGTGATGTGGACACCGAGGAACTTGGCGCTCCTGACAAATTCCACAGCAGAGCCAGTGATGTTAAGTGGGCGGTGGTCACCTCGCACTCTCCGGAAGTCAACAACCATATCCTTAGTTTCGTCTGCATTCAGAGACAGGTTGTTGGTTCCGCACAAGTCTGTTAGCCGCTGCACCTCCTCTCTGTACGCTGAGTCATCATTCTTGCTGATCAGACCCACCACAGTCTATGGACTGGTATCATTAAAGATGAGCTAGTTGGACCTTTTCGGGTTGAAGATGGACTCAAAATCAGCTCCCAAACCTACTGCCAGTTTTTAAAAGACACTTTCTTCAATCAGTGGTACAGGAAAAAGTCTTTTAAGAAGACCGTGATTTTTATGCAGGACATGGCCCCCTTCCTCACCTGACCTAAACCCTATTGAGAACTTGTGGGCCTTTCTTAAACGTGATTTACTTTGAAGGAAAACAGTACACCTGTCTGAACAGTGTCTGGGAGGCTGTGGTTGCTGCTACACAAAAAGTTGATCGTCAACAGATTAAGAAACTGACAGACTCCATGAATGGAAGGCTTATGACTTACTGAAAAGAAGCGTGGCTATATTGGGCACTGATTTTTCTAATTTATTTTTTTAAATGTCAGAAAAGTTTATTTGTAAATTCTGAGTTGTTTATTATTCCCACTTTAACAGATGAAAATAAACAAGTCAGATGGGAATTTTTTTGTTTTTCCATTTAGTTGCATAATAAACCTGCACACTAATAGTTGCACAATAATTATGCACACATAGATATTCTCCTAAAAAAGCCAAAACCTCACTTTTACTTTCTTAAATATTCAGCTTTGCGGTTTATTAACAGTTTGGATTGACCGAGAGCACTGTAGGTGCTCAATAATAAAATGAATCTCCAAAAATACAACTTGCCTAATAATTGTGCACACAGTGTGCAAATGAATAAACAAAACATGCACAAAAGACCATCTCGATTCACAAATTCGTGCATCGCTATCCTCTTCAGGTAAAATAGTAAAGTTGTTAAAATTCAGAATAGGATTCCAGGTCCTGTGAAAGGCTTCCAAGGAACCCTTCAGGGAGAATCGCAACTTTTCAAGCTTGATGCATAATAAAACGTCCTGGATCTGTCGCGTGATGGAGGGGAGGCCTGTTTCCATTTGCGAAGAATGGCACGTGTGGCCAGTAAGGCAGTGAAGGTAATAGCACTTTGTGAAGTAGCAGACAGGCACACACAGGCCACATTTTATGTTTTGTTTTATTGCCAATTCATGTTAAATTCAGCAAAAAAACAGTAACTCTGCATTAAAATGTGCAGCAGTGTGTTCTCAAGGGCACCCAAACGTTTGCATATGACCTGTACAAACTATCACACAACAGCAAGTGAAGGTAGGACGTTGATTTGACTTCACAGATGGACCTGAATGAGTCTGTGTACCTTTAACTCTCATTTCAAGACTGAATAATGAAAAAAATGTTTTCTTTGTAATACAAAGCAAATGACAAATGGCTTAGGCAATTTTACACTATCCTCATAGTCCTGACAACAATGCTGTCCTGGCTTTGAGATCAGCAACATTGCCACTTGATTGCTCATGCCTGGGTGTGGAAGAAGCCGTCTGTGAGCAACAAATAAAAAAAGTCACAGTTTTACATGGAACGAATGCACAAATGCACTCACGACAGGGAAATGTGTTTAGTGCAGTGAAGAAAGGATCTTTCAAAGGTGCTTAAACACGTTTGAGTATCAGCAGCCACTGCAGGAAACTATTCAGCGCCACCGTGTGGCCAGATTACAAAATGCAGACTTTAAGATTAGGCCTGTAGAGCAAAACTAGGCCTATAGAAAAACGCCTTTTGCTTTCTGACATGACCAACACAGCCTTATGCTGTCGACTGCTCCCTTATATAGACAATTCTAACAAACTGGTTCAAACTGCGTTCCCACAGTGACGTGAATAAGGATTATGTTATGATCTAATTAGACCCAGGACATTAATTAAGATATTAATAAACTAAATATACACTAAATCATCATTTATACGGTGCTTTCTTTTAAGAGGTGTCTAACCACAACCTCTGGATTTACAGTTGGGAAAATAATATTTTAATTTTTGTTTCTTTTTTTTGTGATTTCTTTAAAAACTTTACTTAAAAAATGCTGTCCCTCTTTCTCACGTCACCTCCAAAAACAGTGTTGGTCCACAGGCGGAGCCTTATTTCAGCCACACCCCTGCATTTCAGAGCAGAAAGTGAGGCTGCATCCCTGTCCCTCATGGCCACATGGTGAGCGGTTAGATCCCATTGTTTTGAAGTAAAAGTCTTAAAGTCAGTGTGGAACATCAAGAATTGTCACTACCGAAACGTTTTCTAAAACTGAGCAAATGTTTTTGTATTGTAATGATAACTATTGCGATTTTATGTGCTCAGCTGTTCAAAGCTGTGCTCATGTACTGGCTAGTGTTTCCGAGTACTGCTCAAAACGAGCTAAAATTGTCACTACCGAAACAGTCACTACCGAAACATTTGGTAAAGTGTCAGTAGTGTTATGACTATTTTGTTAGTGACAAACTGAAACGTTCAATCACGAACACAGCTTGGGCACCCTTGGCCTTTTGGGAATGACTGTATATCTCTTTCTTCTGTATACTCCTTCCTGTACTCTGAGCTATTCTGACATGGCCTCTTGATGGTCCCTTCCTCTAAACTGTCCACTTTTGGGAGCAGATCTTTTAGCGCCATGGACAGTAAATTCTAAAACACTTCCTCTGCCAATCTGACTTTCCTCTTCAAAAGTAACCACCCTCATCCACTGTCTTTTGTCTCTATGATCGTTTATAAGCATATATTTGAATCTGTTTCTCAGTTTTCTTGTTATATTCGCATTAACATTACATTTAATGGGTTGTACAAGTTTAACAATTAGATCACATGCAATCAAAGACCCTAATACAATTATATTATAATACAGTATCGCAAACAAAACCTTGGAGAGTAACAAAAAAGTACTTCTCCTTTCTTCCTTCATCGTATGACTGAATCTCCTGTTTTCCGCAGCAGGTATGTTATATTAGTGTATTAGTGTCTTGCTTTCTTCCTCTTCTGTCATCTCTGCCATACATTCAGTCTTGGTGACCTACTAAGCTTGGGCCGATATTTGATATTACTGCATATTGGCACTTACGAACATTATTGCAATATTATTCATATTTCCGATTAGGAATGCAATCAGATACAGGTGTTTACATAGTTATTATATTGTTATTATTATCTCCCAGGATATTAAAGAACTACAAGCAGTTCTAAACCATCAAACATCACCCCAACCAAAAAACCTCAGAACAATCCTCACCTCTTCTCTGGCCAGGCTCGGCTTTGGGCTTTTTCTGGCTATCAAGAAGGTCTTGTTTTGTGATAAAGTGCCCTGTTTACCGGTGTCACTTGTGATCTGTGTGTGTGAGCTCACCTCTTGTAGACCAGCAGCGACAGCCGCCTCCACGGGGGTCCCAGCAGGCAGGGGCTCGGTACTCTCGGCAGTGCAGGTCAGCTGATGGGTCAGGACTTCCTCCAGCGTGGGGAACTCCCGGTAACAGGGAAAACACATATACACTGAGGAGCTCTCCATCTTCTACAAGAGAGGAAACACAGTCAGAGAAGAACAACAAGATGCAAAGCATAAATAATAAGAGTGAAAATATGGGCATCTTGGCGAGGGCCACGCTCTCTGACTAAACTACTGGACTGTAACTGGTCAACTAAGGCTCTGACCATTGACTAACCTTTTTTATTTATGTTTTACTTGTTTAAAAAATAAATTACAGCTAAAACTGTGAGAAGAAAAACATCCATGTGTGCACACTTCACAATTTATGCAACATAAACGTCAAATGTGCTGTTATGCATATATTTGAATATACAAATACGTGAGTTTTTTAATGTAGAATAGAAACACTGAACACTGTTTATTCTCCAGTCAATAGAAAACACAGAAACTATGCTGCAAAAACAGCCTGTTTTGAATTCACTGTTTTGGTGATGTCACAAAAACTTTTACAACAAATTTACATGTATTTGCCTATTCAGCCCACAGCAGCTTAGCTCCACCCACTGAAGTTATAAGGAGTGTTTCACCCTAGACTGCTTTTTGAATATGGCACAATATGAGGCAGCCAATCAGAACAGAGAGTATTTACATATCGTCATTGCCCAAAGAAAAACAAGTATCTCCAAAATGGTAAATTTACGAGAGAGGGCAAAAACGGCCTTAACTTTTAATGTTAAAACGTTAACGTAAAGAGATTTTATTCCAAGTGATTTTGGAGCATTTCTGTTGATTCAATCATCATGAAATTTTCACGCAGTGTAAAGGGCAGCTGTCGTGTTCAAATGGTGTAGAAAAATAAAAATCAACAAAAATGGAGATACATCTTTTTTTTTTGGACATATACAATTTATCAGTCTGAAAGGGGCAGTAACAAAAACAGGAAGGAATGAAGTGAGGCTGGAAAATTGTTGTGTAAAAATGAATTATGATTGTTTTTGGGTCAGAAATTCACATAATTGTCATAAGTGGACTTCAGGGGAAAAAATAACATACAAAAATAAAAAAATTTATTTATTAAAAATAAATGTAGGATATGGGCCCTTTAAAAAGTACAATGGAAAGGTTCTCAATAACATAATAAAATGAAAACTTTAATTCCAGATTCAAAATAGATTTATGTTCTAAATCACGATACTTCTGTAGTTAAACCTCTATTTATTAGCCTTTTTTAACCTGAAAAATCAGGCTAGGCAGGTCTGAGGCAGTCCTAATTTTGGTTTGACTTTTAGGAGAAGAGGTGCAACAGGTCACAAGAGAAACGTTCTGGGGGCAACTTTAGACTTTATCCATTCATCGCACAAATTCTGATTTTAGTTTCTTGTAGAGGATAAGTCCACCTGTTTTCCAAAATTTTTGCATAATTCAATCATTAACGTGTAAACAGTCATTCAGAGCCGTTTGATGTGATTGTAGATAAACTTACAGACTCAGATGTCTTTACAGTGGTGGTGATGGGAACCAGGGGTCACCATGACTACAACACAAATATAGACATTTTATTTACTGTCCAAAACCACCAGTGAACCGACACGAGTCTTCTGAGTTTATATGAAATGTTGATGATGGTAAAATAAGTCTGAAAAATAAGTCCTACGTCACCTAACAACTCCCTGTGTGCCAAAACTTTATCTTAAAACAACTTTAAAAGAATGAGTGCGTTTACCTGCACTCAATAATCCGATCATAATCAGATTTCTGCAGTTATCCAGTTTTTCGAATGGTCATGTAAACAACACACTCTGATCTAGAAACCAAAACAATGCAAAACACTGTTGGATCGGCGCTGAAACCAAACACGAAATAAAGGATTTGAATATTCTTCATCTTCTAGATGATGTCTGTTCATATTTCAGGTAAAGTGCTGCAACGTTTAAGAAAAGCTACAGCATGAATTTTGAGTTTTACATTACGTTTACGTCGCATCTTCTTCTGTGAGTTTATTGGCTGGTTGCAAAGCAGAAATCTGATTACTGCCTGACTCATGTAGACCTGGAGTTTCCGCATTATCTGATTACTCAAGTGCATGTCAACGTGTTGATCGGATTACTGACAAAATCTGAATTTCTGCAGTTATCGGATTATTGAGTGCATGTAAACACACTCAATGTTAGGCATTAAACAGTGTATTAATAATTATTTCATATAAAACTCTTTAGACATCTGGTTCCTATCACCACCACTGACTCTGCAACATTCTTTAGAACTCTAAACAACTATGGATGACAATCGTTTAATTATGCAAAAATTCTGAAAAATCAGTGGAATTCATTTAATTTCCCATTATATTACTGCAAAAAAATGTCTGCTTTTATAATAAATAAAAAATCTATTGTATCTCAATTTAATAAAGAGGACACATCAGAGATATAAAACGATACATCAGCAGATATTTTATTGACGTACTGCCTCACTTATTAATTTGTGGTTGGTGTATGTGGTTTATGCACATATATACACACACAGCACATAATATCAGACAAAGAGTAAATCTGATTTTAACAGATACAGAAGACGGATTATTAATCTCATAAGAAATCACAATTTACTGTTTCTTACTAAGACCGTCATCCAATTACGTTAGTAATCTGCCAATTATTTTGACGATTCATTGAGGAATCAGAGCTTTCAAAGAAATCTAAAACAATAAAAACAGAACTGACTTAACTGAACAATAACAAACCACACAGAGCATCTCAAAGATTACAAAACATTTCAGTCGCAAACAAACTAGGAAGCCTTTAAAAGAACAAACCCACCCCCCCAAAAAAAGAGCAAAAATGTAGAGATTTGTAAAATTTACAAGAATGTAAATTGCTTTTTTCCCCCCAATCACCTTCTGCAAAAGACTATAAACACAAAGCTGTCACTATATGGCATATTTCACAACACTGATGTGTCCATTGTGCTTTATTGACTTCTTAAAGCTTTACCCCTTTGTTTTGTACCTTATTGTATTTTTTGTACGAGCACTGATGAGAAATCTAATCAGCTACCAATTCTTCAACTATTCTGCAACTCGTTTGCCATCACAATTCTGAACCATCATGCATATTTAGTAACACATACTAGTAGTTATATAAAGCCAGGATAAATTAACCTAGACCAGCGGTCAGCAACATGTGGCTCTTTTACTTCCCTGTTGTGGCTCCACACCTGAATCAGATTTGTAGGTAAAAATAAAATAATCCTCCTTTACAGTAAAATAAAGCTCTGCTGATCGTTCAACACAGTTTAACACTAAATGGTCTTAAACTCTGGAGTTAATGTAGAACTGCTAATTCACCCTTTAACCCTGAAGATCAGCACAGACTGTGGGTCTCCATAGCAACGCAGACAACAATCTTGCCTAGCTAGTAGCTAACGAAACAGCAAAGAGAGAGATTTAAGACGAACATCAGTAATTTTGAGATGAATGGACTTCTATGCAAGTAACTGTAAGAAGTCGTGAAGCTGAAGTCAGTTTTTTGTTCGAATTGTCCCGTTCCACCTTAAATGGTGCAGCAGTTAGTTACATTCTGGCGCCTCAGGCACCGTTTAAGGTGGAAGAGGAAAATTCGAACAAGAAGCTGGAAAATAAGAAGCGGCTTCAGCCTCGAAAAAAGTCGAAAGTTAAGAGAGAGTTTACAAGAAACTCTTCCACTTTCGCCGAAAAGTTTCCTGCCGGAGATGCGAGAAAAGCAGCTACAGCTGAGCAAAAGCTTAAAGCAGCGCAAAGTAAGTCTGGATTTTCCTCTATATTATAGTTTAGTCTATACTAGTACATCAGTACATACGGAGACATTCACAGCCAAGATGGTAAAACATTACATATGGTGGTTTGCTTTTTGTTGAAGAGCGACAAAATGGCTCTTCTTACCATTTGGGTTGCCAAGCCCTGACCTAGAGAACACTGCAACAAAATTAATAAACATTATGTACGTAGGATTAAATTACAGGGCTATCTGGTCAGAGAAAAGCAACGTGTATGTATGTACGATAGGTATTTTTCATGGCTTCAGTCACAGCTTTAAGTAGCCTTGAAAAAAAAACCTTATAATAGAGCTGAGAGCCAACAAGATGTATATTAGTTTGTCCTCCTTTGTTGCAATAACAGCCTCTCATTTCTGGGAAAACTTTACACTAGATGTTAGAACATTGCTGTGAGGATCTGACTGCATTCAGCATTCACAAGAGCATTAGTGAGGTCAGGTACTGATATTGGATGATCAGTTCCGGAACTCCAGCTTATCCCAAAGGTACTGGACGGAGCTCCATCACTCCAGAAAATGCTCCACAGCCCAGTGTTGGGGCTTTAAACCCCTCTTGGCACCGGGCACGGTGACCTTTGGCTCACATGAGCCTCCCATTCAGTGCTTTTCTATGGCTTTATGCGTTCAACTGAACACCAGTGTCAGCAATGAGAGCACTTTATAGCAGCCCAATAAAAGGTCTGTCTGGATACTTTTGGACATGGATATGTCCAATAAAAAGAAGTAAACAATCTCTGCTGCAGCAAACTATACACAAATCTGCTGTATATTTAACAGAAATGGAAAAATAAACAACTTTTTACTTTGCAATGAACGCTGATTAATGATTTACTGTTAAGACAAATAAAAGCTTAATATTTTGCCATTTTTTGGCTTGGCCCATTTTTTTGCACGGGGGTATTTTACATAACGCTATATGTTAAATAGAGCTTTTACAAGCAAAAACACTCAGAGCTGAAATAAACTAAACAAAATATGTGCTTAGGTGCCTCAGCCTTTCGCACAGTACTGTATGTGTACATATGGAAAGAGGAGGAGTCCACAAATAGCCCTGTAATACCGGCCTCTGTCTAGACCCCATGCGTCAAACACAAGGCCCGCCGGCCAAGTCAGGCCCGTGGCACCATCCTATTTGGCCCATGAAATTATTTTCATTTTCTATAAAGTTTAGCTTGTTTTACCCTGAGCTGCACTACAGTCCCCAGCCTGCACTGCAGCATAATGTACGTCCTGACCCCCTGCCCCCAACAACAATCTACAGGCCAGCAGTTTGAAAGACCCACCTCCTGGGAACTTTTAGAGAGGTTTAGCAGGTATCTGTAGCTAATGTAGCTCACTTTTTATATAAAACAATTTGTTTTTATTTCAAATTTCTGGCATGTTTTGAAAAACAAGTTGGGGGTCATGGCAAAACGTAAAAACACAGCTGGCCCTCTGATTTGCTGAGATTTTTTAATAAGGCCCTTTTAGTGGTTTAGTTTGACACCCTGGCTTAGACTGACCAACTTCCACTCTGAGCAGCGCCACAGTATGGTGGCCTGAGATAGAAGGGTGGACCTGTTAGTGACCCACCCTATTAGCCAACTTTCTGACTAACTGAACACGGCTCTCTCTTTTCCTAACAAACCCATCAATCAACCATGGTTGTTAGACAGGGGTAACGTCAACGGTCGTGAAAGCAAACAAACTACGGAGCCCCTAAGGTGACGCGGTGATTACTTTTCAGTAAGGCGTGGCCATGAATTAAGATATTGAAGCCACAAGTTAAATTTGTCATAACTTGTGGCCTCAATATTGTAATTCCTGCCCTCGCCTGATTTAAAAACAACCTCCATGTCACCTCGGGGGCTCTGTAGACTGGTCATTAACGGTCATTAAATATGGGTAATGTCAACGGTTGTGAAAGCAACAAACTACAGAGCCCCTAAGGCAGGGATGTCCAGTCTTATGTGCAAAGGGCCGGTGTGGCTGCTACACATTTGGTTCTACTTGCTTAATCAATTGGTCATTAAATTGGTCAGTCGTCAAAGAACTGATCCAGTGCGCTGATGCTTTGTTGGAATGAAAACCTGCAGCCACACCAGCCCTTTGCAGATAAGACTGGACACCACTGCCCTCAGATGACCATGGTAATTATTTCTCAAAAAGGTGTGGCCACAAATTAATATAATGAGGCCACTAGTTTAGTTCCTCATAACTCAAGAACTCAATATAGTAATCTGTGGCCATGCCTGATTAAAAATTCACCATGTCACCTTGGGGGCTCTGTAGCAAACAGACTGGTCATTAACGGTCATTAAATATGGGTAATGTCAACAGTTGCGAAAGCATCAAACTACAGAGCCCCTGAGGCAGGGATGTCCAGTCTTATGCGCAGAAGGCCGGTATGGCTGCCTGTTTTCAGTCCAATAATGCAGAACATATTTGGTTCTACTTGCTTAATCAATTGGTCATTAAATTGGTCAGTCGTCAAAGAACTGATCCAGTGCGCTGATGCTTTGTTGGAATGAAAACTGCAGCCACACCAGCCCTTTGCAGATAAGACTGGACACCACTGCCCTCAGGTGACCATGGTGACTGTTTTTTTAAAAAGGCGTGGCCACAAATGAACATAATGAAGTCACTAGTTAAGTTTCTCTTAACTCAAGAGCTCAATATAATAAATTGTGGCCTCGGTATAGTAACTCGTGGCCTCGATTTATTAATTCGTTGCCACGCCTTATTGAAAAATAATCACCATGTCAGTTTAGAGGTCCTGTAACAAACAGGCCGAGTGATTAAAGGTGTGAGGGGCTGCTGAGCTGTGCAGTCAGGCCGGTCAGTAGGCCACAGTCTGCCTGCAGCACTGGACACTGGACGACAGAGCTCACGAGCGTTAGCAACACAGCTAACGCGACTGCTAACCAGCTAGCTTTCCCAGCCCGGCTCTCTTTCTCTCAAACGGGGACGTGAAACCGGACTGACGGACCCACATCTGTCCGAAAACGCGCCTAGTGAAGGATTATCGTCGGCTGAGGAGTGAAGCCGCCGAGTCGCTGTAAAACCTTCGAGGCCAACCGACGGCAAAAGCGCCGAAGAAGGAGCAGCGCGCGCTTCTTCGGTGGTAAAGTAATGGCGCCTCTTCGGAGCAAACGGTCGATGTCTCCCCCCTCCAGCAGAGAGACCCCGAAACAGCCCCGCAACTCACAAACAACCGCGTTAACCCCCAGAAGCGTCCGCACAAAACCCAAAAACAACTCACCGAGCGCTGCCTCTCTCCTTTCTGCCTCAAATGTTATTAGGAGCGTTGGAGCAAACTGATGCCTGATTGGCCCGCAGCGCCCCGCTCGGCTCCACCAATAGAATCGCGCTCAGTGCCGATAAGTTACGCTCTGCGTCATCCCTGTTCGATTCGGTTCAGCGAACCGATTCTTTCGAGCGGTCCTCCGTCTCGATAAATCGGACGAGGGTCCGAGCAGACGACTCCCTGATTCAGTGAGAAAATAAATCAAGACTCAAACAGCTGAGTTAAACTTCCTTTCCTGCCGAGCCCAGTGAGGCAGCGGCGCTCAGTCCTGGTCCTGAAGATCTACCACCCTGCAGAGTTTAGCTCCAACCCTGATTTAAGACACCTGATCCAGGTCAGGAACTGTTAGATCCAGGTGTGTCGGATCTCAACTCGCCAGGGTGGTGGATGTCCAGGACCAGGATAGAGCACCCCTGTCCTGAGGTGACATGGTGATTATTTTACGATAAGGCGTGGAAGCGAATTAATATATTGAGACCACAAGTTAAGTGTCTTATAACTCGTGGCCTCAATATATTAATTTGTGGTTTTAATAAAGTAATTTATGTCCTCAATATATTACTTTATGTACTTAATATATTAATTTGTGCCCCCAAAACAGTAATTTATGGCCTCCATATAGTAATTTGTGGCATCAGTGTATCAATTTGTGGCCTCAATACAGTAATTTGTGGCCTGAATATATTAATTTCTGGCTTCAATAAAGTCATTTATGGCCTCAATATATTAATTTATGGCTGGTATAGTAATTTGTGGCTTCAGTTTATTAATTTGTGGCCTCAATTTAGTAATTTGTTTCCTCAATACAGTAATTTATGGCCTCCATATAGTAATTTGTGGCTTCAGTTTATTAATTTGTGGTCTCAATTTATTAATTTGAGGCTTTGTATATTAATTTATGCCCTCAATATAGCAATTTGTGCTACTTAATTCTGACTCCAGAACAGAGCATTTCACACCAATCCACTCTGAATGACTTTTCATCCTAACAATTATGCAGAAATTTTGAAAAATTGCTGGAATTCCCCTTCAGCTAGACACTGAGTAATTACAGACCTTTTCCACAAGTAGTCAATTCTAGAAATAAGCTGTTAGATTTCAGTTACTCTCATGATACTGTGGGGGTGTGTGTGTGTGTGTGTGTGTGTGTATTCTTTGTATTTATGAAAAACAAAACCAAGAGACACTTTTCATCACTTTATTAATGAGCTTAATTATTTATACCAACAAACAAAAACACAGTTTCTCTCTCCCTCTCCCTCCCATAACCCATCCGTTCATCCTCAGATGAGCCGTTTTTCACCCCCTGTATATCTACGCTTGTGTGCCTGCACCTTCCAGAACATTCTACACGACTAGACTCCTGGAGTGGCCTGGACAGTGGATTAATGATGTCCAGCACTTTTTCCAAGATAATATCAAGTTTGGGAAATGAATGTTTATCTAATGACAGGCCACAGACAGTCAGCTCTCTTCCCCATCAGATTAAAAACAAAAAACAAACAAAAAAAACAAAAAACACTGTTGCAATACAATAAATAAAATAATCAAAATAACATTAATGAGGAGGGGAGCGAGCACATGAACGAAGAGGAGGTGGAGGGGGAGAGAGAGGGAGAGAGACAGAGAGAGAGAGGGAGAGAAAGAGAGGGAGAGTGACTCATTTTGTTCAGTTTCCCTCCTCCATAGGCAAAGGGGGGCACGTTGAAATGTTATGTACAGCAGAAAGAGTTGAGGAGGTGGGAGAGAAAGTAGAGTGAGAGAGAGAGAGAGACATAGAGAGAGAGAGAGAAAAAGAGAGAGAGGCTGGTCACTACCTGAACCAGCACTACTCCACTAGAAAAAAAATCAAGTTACAAGAACAATAGAATAACAATAATAACAAAAAAATAACAAAAAGAGTAAAAGGTACATGGTATTTACATATTAGCGGTGAGAGAAGGATGGATAGAGAGGGACGGAGGGAAAGAGGGGAGGAGAAAAGGCTCCAAATGCGAAAATTCTCATCTGCTAAAGTGGGTTTCAGTCCAGTGGGGGGGGGGAATTGGTGCGTGCGTGCTCGTTTGTATCTCTATGATACTTACAATGATACAGATTCACAGATCAGCAGCCGTTTAAACATGTATACGTTTCCTAACTCTAATGAAACGCACACGCACGCACTCGCACGGACGTAGCGGTTGTGGTGTGAAGGAACTGAATGGAATGAGGTGGCAAAGGCATACAGACGTCTTCGAATCCGGATCCTGAATCCAGATTCCGGCCCTGGATTTTTTTTTTTATTGGAGGTAAATTGAACTGTTGATGGCCACATACCAGTCGATACAAAATCTAGGGCCGGTGTGGTGACCGTGGTGGTCCTCCGCTGAGCGTTTCAGCCCCAGCGTCATCAAGATTGTCCTCTGAGGCTGTTTAACTACTAAAAAAAGAGTTTGTCAGCTTCTTTAATGCCATATTTTGTTTATAATCATATAATTTAGAGAGGTAATAGAGCAGGACGGCCCAAAATGTGGTCCGTGAGGATGAGCTGTTTTGATTATACTAATCACTCCCTTAAACAATCAAATCGCCAAAAACGGTAACTTTACAGTTAAAGACAAAAATGTTCTGAATGTAAAAAGTTTTCACACACTTACAGGACAGTCACTGAATAAAAGGAGATACGTGGCTTTTTTTTTGGACAACATTTTATATCATTTAATTTATTAAATGCTCATTCGCCTTTAGGAATTGTACTTTTTATATAATTTAGCGACAAAATAGTGTAACGTTCTAGAATAAATCTAGAAAAACAGTCAATTTGAAACCTACTTACTTTCTTTTATTTCCACCACAAAGGCCCCCAAAGACATAAAAGTCTGGGCACCCCTGTACAGCAGTGATGGCAAACCACCAGGCTAGCTAGCTGTTTATATCCTTTTGTGTTTATCCAGTGTACGACCACGAGAGCTCCTCACGCTATAACATACTTATGGAGATGATCTGTTTAGATCACACAGCTATAGAGTCACATGCAAAAGTTTGAACACCCCTGGTCAGATGACATTCTGTTGATTCTCAATCTGAGTAATATTTTGATTTTGATTGTGAAAATAAGTGAACATCCTCCACAGAGAACACAAATATTTCTGCAAATTTCAGTGCACAATTTTTAACATATTCTAATATAAAATAGAAAGTGTGCCATAACTTCTGCACAGGTCACATTTTGTGTGTGTTTTTTTCCTCCCCAATACGTTAAATAAACAGTAATAGTGCGTTAAAATGTGCACAAATTTGCTCTCTGTAGCGAAACGTTTCACCTACAAAAATCAACAAAACGTCATTTGACCGGGGCGCCAAAACTTTTGCATATGACTATGGAGCGAATACATTTCTGGTGTAACTATGGCATGTGACATATACAAAATATGCAATCATGTTTGATCACAGGCTGTGTATGGAGCCAACGTCGCTGCTCAGTATGTTGTAAATAGCAGCGCTATTATTTTACATTACACTATATATTATCACACTATTATATAGCAGTGTAGGTGGGTGACTTCAATCAATGGAACAGCTTCTATGACGCCAGGCGGACCAGCTCGGTAGGAGGTACCACACCACAAACTGGATTCAATGTCCAGATGAACCTCTGAGGACACAGCGATGCCTTCAAAACAAATTAAAGCTGCATTTCCATACAAAACGTACAGAAAACTGACGAAATGTGCGTGAGAGCATAAAGAACGTGAAACAGGACCCTTCTCACCTGAGCAGACAATGAAATGAGTAAAGGGTTCAAGCGTCACAGAGCTGCACAGATCTGGGCTCAGCCGTCTGCATCTTTTATGATTATATCCGCCAAGATGCTGATCCTGGACCAGCATCCTTTAAAGCAAGACTTCAGCATTTTTCAGCCAGATCTCTATTTGCTGTCTCCGTAGCGCACGGCTGATCACCACTGACGAGAACTTTGACTCGCAACACCTTTATAATAGAAGTCAATGGGCAGTTGCTGTATAAGCGCTTACGCAGAGCTCTTCCACAGTCTGTATAACTGGTTCTTTCATGGATAGATGGACTAGCTAGAGGGGAAAAATGTGCAGTAATTTGTTAGCAGCATAGTGGTGTATATTTCCACAGGCACCAGTAAAGGAACCAGAACCGATTTTGTACTGTGTTGTCCTCCAGAGCATTCTCTCGGTCTGTCTCATCCTAAGACCTGTACTGGTAGAGAATGGCGTTTGCTGTTTTTAAATTTGTGATATATAGTCAAGCATTCATTCTGAGAATTCAGCAACAGCAATGACTTCTACTGTGAGTTTCAGGCTACGTTCACACTACAAGCCTCACTGCTCAAATCCGATCTCTCTGACACGATGGTTCACACTCGTTTAGGTAAGTGATTCAAATCTGTCAATGTGAACGAACCGGCGTCCTGAAATGACCCTCGTGCGCACATCCTGCTCAGTAACGTCGCGTGAATGAATCGTGCATCATCAGCACAAACTAACGAGCAGAACGAGCTTCGCTGAGAAGATAATTAATTCTGATCAGCTCTCAGCTTCATTATTAGAGTGAGACGAAGGAGAAAAAGGTGAGATGAGCTGCTTTTCCACCGTTTACAGGCTTTAACTTCTGTTCGGCGCTGCTGCCATGGTAACGCTGAATGATGGCGCACGCACAGTGGAAAAAAAAAGCATCTGAGCGTCACATTAAGGTCGCATGGCCACGAATCAGATATGTAACCGATCTAGGACCACATATTAAAAGTGACTTAGGTCAGATTTGAAAAGATCAGATTTGTGTGTCCACACAGCTCTGAAAACATCAGATCTGAGTCACATTAGGGCAAAAAAAACAGATTTGTGCCACTTCAACCTGGTAATGTGAACGTAGCCCAAATCACCATGATTCCTGTTCTTTTCCAAGTACTGGGACACGTACTGAAGTTGTCGTCTGTGGTAACTGACAGTGCAGCACAGATGCAGCAGATCGAGATTAGGCTGGAAAAAGCTTGAAAAACTCTTTACTTTTGTAGGATTTGCTACTTCTAGTGCTTGGTACCCAGTTTTATGAGGAGCCCTTTCCCATCATTGACAGAGTGAGAGGAAGAAAAAGCTGTAGCGTGTGTTCATGTAGAAAAATCCCACAAAAACACTCCCTAACATGCTCTTTCTGCTTATTCCTGACCAGTGCAAAAGCAGTACACACACAGACAAAACCCTTCTCTCTCAGCCTTGAGGCTTCATAAAAACACTTTCCACATTGCTATCAATGATCAATGACGTGGTCTCGTTTAAGAAGAAAAGGGAAAAAAAGTATAGCTAAAATTGATTAAATTTTAAAAGCAAACTAAAATGAAAGATTACACCCGTATTCTGTGGATGACTGAGGTGTAAACTCTTCTAAAAGATAATTTAAAAAAAAATTAAAAAAAAAAAAGGGATGGACCTCCAGAGAGAAAGAGCAATGAGAGCAGTTAACTGTGCTTTGCTCCTCCTGCCACTAGGGGTCAGCAATGCCTCAAAAGAACCATTCTTTGCTTTGCTTTAAAGCACACAAACCTCATCGATAATAATCCCAAAAACAAAAATGGAAGCAAACGAAACAGATAGATTAAAAACATGCTCCTGTGAAAAAGGACAGAGCGGTGAAAGGGCTGGTTTGTGGGCAGAAGTGATTAAGAAAGACTGGTTTTGGAGCTCGAAGAAAGCAGGACTGAGGGCTGGGTGACAGGAGGAGAAAGAGGAGGAGGAGGAGGAGAAATGGGCAGAGCGGTGCAGTAACACAGAGGGAACGCTCAGGTGCTGTTGCTCAGGGCTCCTGGTGCTGAGCTGGACTGGGCTGGACTGTCCGACACGACGCCTTCTGCGAGCACAGAGAGCATTCGTTACACACGTACAAACACACCATAAACACAGTACACACTTGCACATGAATGCACACAGATCAGCAATGGATAGTTCAGTCCAGCTGGGTTGACCAAAGGACTTTCACTGTTTTACTATTAACTTTATTATACACTATACACCAATCAGGCATAACATTCTGACCACCTCCTTGTTTCTACGCTCATTGTCCATTTTATCAGCTCCACTTACTGTATAGGTGCACTTTGTAGTTCTACAGTTACAGACTGTAGTCCATCTGTTTCTCTGTATACTTTGTTAGCCCCCTTTTACCCTGTTCTTCAGTGGTCAGGACCCCCATGGACCCTCCAGAGCAGGTACTATTTGGGAGGTGGATCATTCTCAGCACTGCAGTGACACTGACGTGGTGGTGGTGTGTTAGTGTGTGTTGTGCTGGTCTGAGTGGATCAGACACAGCAGTGCTGCTGGAGTTTGTGTCACTGCTGGACTGAGAATAGTCCACCAACCAAAAATATCCAGCCAACAGCGTCCTGTGGGCAGTGTCCTGTGACCACTGATGACGGACTAGAGGATGACCAACACAAACTGTGCAGCAGCAGATGAGCTATCGTCTCTGACTTTACATCTACAAGGTGGACTGACAAGGTAGGAGTGTCTAATAGAGTGGACAGTGAGTGGACACAGTGTTTAGAAACTCCAGCAGCACTGCTGTGTCTGATCCACTCCACATAAGTTTGGTTCCTGACTCCTCACTGCACACCAGCCATTGCATGGACTTGTATATATATGTACACACACAAATTTAACCAATCAGAATGCTCTCTGCCAATGAACACCACTATCTCAGAATTTTAGGGGCTGATGCCAGGCGCCGTCCATCAAAAATACGCTCCAGACATGCACATACACACACGCTCACAGCTCAGGTGTGATGGGAGTAGAGTGGAGAAGTCCGTACCGTGTGAGGCAGATGTCGTCTGCGAGCGAGCGTGAGGAGGAATGAGAGTGGAGTTCAACTGCGGCTGGATAGACAGCTCTGTGGGCAGAGAGAGAGGAAACAGCCATGAATAATAATGCATAATATGTTTAATAACTGCTACAGATGTGCATTCTGACAAATTTTGATATTCGAGTGTCTGCTAAGTTAACGAAAGGATATCTTACATTTTTCCTTTTCTTTTAGTTTTAGCTGTTGTCTGTCTATTCTAGTTACTTCTCCCTTATTAAACTGCAGAGTGCTCAATGATGATCACACGGCCTCCAGCTCCAGCCTTGTGTTTTCTCTTTTAGCTGATCATCAGAGAAAATCAGTAAAGCAAAAAAGCAGTAAGATCTTTTAGATCAGACACGCTGTTCATCAGATCGAGACGTACAAGAGTTCTGTTTACACAGAAGGCAGCGATGATATGGAACTGAGTTTCTGTAGATCATTTAGCTGGTTTACTGAACACAGACAATTCGTTTTCCATTGCGAATGAAACCAGGCGAACATAAGGGTGTTTTCACACTTGTCCTGAATAATTGAGACTACATCCAGGACCGATTCTGGGCTTGTTTGTGGGAGGGACTCATTATCGCTGGTTTGCTTTCACACCAAGAATTATATCCCAACCGTGGATCAATTGCGCAATTCCATACATCGCTTTTCTTCATGCAGGTCTGCAGAACGGTGGTCAGTGACTTCACCCGTTTGCCGCTTTTATTATTTTCCTTGGAAGTGAAGAACAGCACTTTTTTGTCCACAGCAGTCCTCCCCCCACCATCACAAAACTTGAAAAGGGAGTGACGCAATAAAAGGAGCAGTCATGTTACAGAATGAACCAATCACACAGCCCCACACACGGCAGGGGGAGCGGATAGCGTCCGCATGCTTAGGGGGCTGCACCAGAGTTCACTGGAAGTGAAACCCAGACCACCGATTTCACGAGGACCAGAGATCGGTTCTCAAAAACAGCTTACACACTCGACAAACGTACCAAACTCACACAGCAAGCAGGCCTGGGTCTGGAGAAAAGCTCTAGTGTGAAAACATCCTAAATCTCCTTCAGTATTGATGACTTGCCATTATTTCAACCACTTTGTATTGACTTATAGGAACACTTCATAGCCAATATGAATCACTTAAACCAGAGGTGCCCAGTCCTCGTCCTGGAGAGTTCAGATCCAACACGAGTGGCTCAAACATTCAGACGTGTCTGGAGGCCTTAATTACCTAACAGGTATGTTATGTTAGGGTTGGAGCTAAACTCTGCAGTGTTCGGTCTCCAAGACCAGGACTGGTCACCCCTGACTTAAACAGTTCCCTAACCTCTCTATGTTTTCTATGTTCCAGCTCAGCTACACTGACCAAAGAAGTGTGTGAGGACGCACTCTGCTTTCTTACGCTGAGCGTCATTCTGCAGTCACTAATTGGACCAAATAAATGAATTTGTATTTTATTGTTTCATTTTGTGTAAACATTGGATATCTCAATATCTCTTGCCTCATTCTTTCAAAGAAATGTCTTGCGAAATGGTGGCATGGGTGAGTTTTAGGCTAAGTGCGCAGCTTTAAACCACTCAGTATGACACGGCGATTTTATCACATTTCATCATAATGCCAAGGAGATGATCACATTGGCCCAATCCCATTTCACCCCTCTCCCCTACCCCTCTGTTACACCTAGGGGTAGGGTGTCCCGATTTTTGTTGAGATAGAGGGGTAGGGCGAAGTGTTAGGGCTACATGGCCCTCCAAACGGAGCTTTTTCAGAGAGACACTCCAAATGAAGTGATATGAGAAAAAAAAAATCAGCAAGATGGCTGAAACAAACAAATGTGAGTATTTTCTCCGTTAAAAATTACGATCCTTTCTTTATAACAAGCATAAAAATCGCTAGTACTATGCTGATGTCTCGGTAGCTGTCTAGCTAAATTTCCCGTTCCACCTTAAATAATCCAGCAGTACCGACGCTTGAAATGCCAGAATGTAACTGCTGCTCCATTTAAGGTGGAACAGGAAAATTTGAACAAGAATCTGGTGAATATCTGACTTCAACTTCATATCACTGAAGAATTAGGGGTGGTAATAAATAATAATAAGTAATTGCCCCCCCTCTTTGAAGGCGTATGATGCCCTAAATGTAACTAAAGCCCAGCAGTGAGGAGCTGAACTTTACCCTCCTCTGCTGTCACTGCAGACTGGCAGGGTCGCCTACAGAGCAGCACTAGTAGCTGTTAATGAAGTGATGCTCTTTTTATTTGAGGGTCCCATTTAGTAGGAAACATTTCAACCACTACCCCTCGTAACTCAATTCCAAGAGGGAAGGTGACACTCGAAAAGAAGGGCTGTAGGGGTAAAAATAAGAAAGAGGATTGGGCCACTGAACATTGTTAGACGCTGCAGTCAGATCAGATCTTATGCCTGTTCTTTCTTATTTTCATTGTGTATTTTCAGTTTTTCGATTACAAAGTCTTATTACAAATTAAAAGAGGTGGGCTTTATAATAAAACTTTTTTGTTTTTTTTTTATAGATTGACCTATAAGCCTCTAACTTGTGTCAGGAATCCACAAGCGTGTCCTAAAATTCTGTTGCGGCCTTAAATTGTGTAAAACAGTGTAAAATTGTGCATTTATCTTTCTGTGAATTAGCCAGTAGTGTGTTGAACTCTAAATGCCTGCACTACCACTAAATCAACCCCAGTAATCAGGTACAGATAAATTATGCAATAAACAGATGTTACACCTTCAGCACTTCATTTTATCTCTGGAACGTTTAAAGTACTACTATTTGTTTAAAATGTGCATTCCTACTCTAGCCAAATGCCTGTGATGCTCATATGTTGCACTGACCCACAGGGCTGAAATTGAAAAGCATGGGCAGTTCTCGGCCGCTGGGCAGGCGGGCATTGGGCTGGCGCAGCTCGTCGAAGAAGGCGTGGGCGCAGGCCTCCAGCGGGGAGAGACGCGTCACCGGCGTGTACTCCAAGAGACGAGAACACAATGAGATGGCCTCTGGGGGCGTCCTGGGCTTAAACACCTGATTAACACAAAAAGACAGCTCTGTGAAAGACCTGCTCGGCTAGTTCTTTTAAAAGCATCGCTGGATCCTTTCAGGGAGACTTTTATTCATTTTGAGAGTGAGATGGGGGAACTTGGTTTTAACCCTTTGAACATCAGACTTATTATTCAGTTATTAAGCTTAAGGCTTAGTATCCAATAACTATGGATTATTCAGTAACGACTATAAAACTAATATGAAAGTTACATTCCTCATCCTCTTAAACAGCAGACTAATTACTAACTATGAGAAGTATTCTGCAACTACTATTAAACAAAGTTCTCAGACTGCAAGCTTTTTACTAACCTATTAATCTTAAGGTTCGTTATTCACTAACTACTTTGAATTATTCACCATCTACTTACTATGGAGGTAGAATGCACATATGGCGATGTGGTAAAAATACAACCATACAACACTTTTAAGACATTTTCATTTTCAAGTCTTTTTGAGGATTTATACGTTCCAACAGACAAAAAAAGAATCAGCAGTGGCACATTATTAAAAAAAATTTATATAAATACATTGACTTTCATTCAACAGCCTTTCATTTCACAGCCTGCACTGCACTAAATCCAGTTAAACAGGACTAATTCTGCTCATTCTATGATAAAACATGCAAATGAATAACATGCAGCTGAGTCCTTTAACCAATCACAGTGTGGTGTGAGCATCGCCACCCCTCATGGTTCCTGAGAAGTTTTTGTGGGTATTTTGATCGATAAAGGTCACCTCCTCGTTTCTATGCTCATTGTCCATTTTATCAACTCCACTTACTGTATAGGTGCACTTTGTAGTTCTACAGTTACAGACTGTAGTCCATCTGTTTCTCTGTGTACTTTGTTAGCCCCCTTTTACCCTGTTCTTCAGTGGTCAGGACCCCCATGGACCCTCACAGAGCAGGTACTATTTGGGTGGTGGATCATTCTCGGCACTGCAGTAACACTGACGTGGTGGTGGTGTGTTAGTGTGTGTTGCGCTGGTCTGAGTGGATCAGACACAGCAGTGCTGCTGGAGTTTTTAAACACCTCAGTGTCACTGCTGGACTGAGAATAGTCCACCAACCTAAAATATCCAGCCAACAGCGTCCTGTGGGCAGCGTCCTGTGACCACTGCTGAAGGACTAGAGGATGACCAACACAAACTGTACAGCAGCAGATGAGCTATCGTCTCTGACTTTACATCTACAAGGTGGACTGACAAGGTAGGAGTGTCTAATAGAGTGGACAGTGAGTGGACACGGTGTTTAAAAATTCCAGCAGCACTGCTGTGTCTGATCCACTCGTACCAGTGCAACACACACTAACACACCACCATCACGTCAGTGTTACTGCAGTGCTGAGAATGATCCACCACCCAAATAGTACCTGCTCTGTGAGGGTCCATGGGGGTCCTGACCAATGAAGAACAGGGTAAAAGGGGGCTAACAAAGTACACAGAGAAACAGATGGACTACAGTCTGTAACTGTAGAACTACAAAGTGCACCTATATAGTAAGTGGAGCTGATAAAATGGACAATGAGCGTAGAAACGAGAAGGTGGTCATAAAGTTATGCCTGATTGGTGTATATCGCAATACATAATTGCAACACTAGCTAGCTGTCTATATCATTTAGCCCTGCTTGAAAGTGTGCACTCTGCTACCAAGCACAATCAAAACTAACTAGTACATCACTGAGAGGCATCCATAGAGCGATAGAGCCCACATGTTATTTGCAGAAACAGCTTGAGGCAGTTGCACATTTGACAACCTCAAAAGAGGTTTTGAGAGAGTGTAATTAAATAAGGCTCAGGTGCAAAGCTGGTACCTTAGTCCAGGGATGCGCTTTGATCTGAGGGAATTTGAACTCTGTGTAGTTGGGATTCATTTCCCGGATCTGTTCTCTCGTAGGCGTTCCCAAAACCTGCAAGAAGAGAAGAGGAGTGTCGTTGGTCAAGAAAAGTACTGGAATGTTTGCAGAATTTTGCCTTCGGTGCTGATACCAGCTTTAGGACTCCGATATTGACGCCAGATACCTCAAACAACAAACTGACACCCTCAAATAATACATTTGTTCATTAAACCAACAACATGTAGAGTTTAATGTAGAGACCACAGATACTGAAAGACAGCAAATCTCAGTATAGATTACAGTAATTAACCACATTGAGGTCAACATGAATGGTCCTGGAGTTTGAAAACACTTGTAAACAAACTGTCACTTAAAATGTTAGTCTGTCTTGTATACATATTTTTGCATGGATGTATATACACAAATATAGATGTATATTGCAAATATAAATACACACACACAGCTTCTTAAAGCGTTTTTTCCAGGTGAAAAACTCATATTTGTACCTTTTCATAACCGAATGTTTCAAAACAGATCAGTAAAATAAAAGCCTGGAGACGAGACGGGGTGTGTGGAGTCAGTACAACCTAGAAAATATCATTTCAGTGGATTATGATACGGTTATGTTCCCTGACTAAAGGTACTGAGATGTACCCTTGAGGGTTCTGCCCCAGTGACAGTTTACTACCTTTATTTCTGAGAGTGTAGCTAACTATATTATACTTATGTCATTCAGTTAGCTAATTAGCATTATGTGCATTTCTATATGTATGTTCAAAGTGCTGGTCAGAAGCATTAAAGTTCCTGAGTTGTAATGAGAGAAGTACCTCAACAAAATCATCAAATAACTACTTAATACTTCGGCGGTCATCTAACTATAAGCTATTATTAGCTGACGTTATTGCTAGCCAAGTCTGAAAGAGCCATGAGTGGCACCCACAGACTCAGCCAACTCCGCATGCACACTATGTGACTTCTTATGGAAAAATCTCTTTCTGATGAACGGAACTTAAAGCAAGTGCAGCACATTTTCATCTGGAAGATGATGGTAAATTTCTGATAATGTGGATTTATTCTGGACACATTCTCACACTTACACATGCCCACACATATTTACATACCTTAATGATTTCAACTAGCTGGTCAACCCCACTGTCACCAGGGAAAATGGGTTGCCCCAGCAACAGCTCGGCCAATACGCAGCCAGCTGACCAGATATCGATGTTGGAGGTGTAGTCTGTGGCTCCGAAGATGAGCTCTGGTGCACGGTAGTACCGCGAACAGATGTACGAAACGTTCGGCTCACCGCGCACCAACTGCTTCGCACTGTGAAGAGAGAACGGAGATCCAACCATAAACGACTCACGCAGACGTTCAGATGACAAAGACGATGTGTGACCAGCAGCATCCAAGAGGGACAGCAACAAATATCAGATTAAATCCGATACATTTCATAAGTAAAATCACATTGATAATCAATACTTTTACTACAACCAGTTTAATTCAAAGATGTAAATAAAAAGCGACATGAATTTTAGGAAAAGAACACAAAAAGAAATGAGAGAGAGAAAAATTGTTTGTTCTTCCCATTCAGTCATGAAAATGAAGCATGTCTTGAACTTTTCTAATACAACGTATCAACAATAAACTTGATATTTGCAGCACTATACTGAAAGCAAACATTCAAGCACACGGTTAGCCTCGAAGGGTCAGACGTTATGTCGTAATGAGAAAATCTGAAGACAACAATGGCTGTGTTTACATGCAAAGATTTTTGCCAATCCGACTGAATACATTCCGATTACAGGTGAAGACTGAGGTGTTTGTTCTCACTCTACTCAACAATCTGATAAATCTTTGACATGCGCACAACAAGTAATCCCATCCAAAATGGCACGCATGCGTGGCGAACCACTTAATGTAGGCATTACCATGACAACCAGCATTATGCCCAGTCCAGTCAGAGTGAGATGAGCAGCAGTGAGCAGCGCTTGTGTTTTTAATGGCTTTAAAATGATGTCAGACTCAGGAAAACGTCCTTCACATGTCCTTGAAGGCCGAGAGGAAGACGTCGTGTTCTGAGACACATAAGCTGGACGTCCGTCCCACCGCCGTCTTTTAAAGATCAGAGCAGAAACTTCGTCTCCTCTGCAGACCAGTTTCTGCTCCGCCATGTTGAACGGTATAAACTCTCGCACATGATCAGAACGTACCTAAACTTTCCGATAGGGAATGTAATCAGATACAGGAGTTTACACGGATATTATTCTTATATTTAACAGATTATTTACAGGATTACCCACCTCGCTTAATCGGATAGAAACTGTATTCCGAATGGCCTCAATCGGACTGGACTATTCTGACTGAAGTGTATACATGGACGTGTTCTATTCCGATTGAGCTATCATTTAGATTATTAACAGATTATTAGGCTGCATGTAAACGTGGCTAATGAGATTCTGGGCTGAACGTGGGTGGGAACATAGACTTATTAGACTGGGACCGAACTAAAAGTGAAATTTCTAAATCAAATAAACAGCTCGTGAAGGCCGAGCTCAAAGTAGGGGGTGATGGAGTGCTCGTCAACATTATCTGTTAGCCCACGGATGTAAGGCAGCTATCTTACGGAGCCTCAAGAAAGCTCACCTGTGTCCCGGGATACTGGTGAACCTTTACCGCTGTACCATAGAGAGCATACTGACAAACTGCATCTCAGTGCGGTGCGACAACTGCTCCGCATCTGACCGCAAAGCGCTCCAGCGGGTGGTGAAAACTGCCACACATCACAGGTGCCCAGTTACCCACCATTGAGAACATTTTCCATAAGCGCTGCCTGGGCAGGGTGAGGAACATCAAGGACGTTTCTCATCCTAACCACGGGCTTTTTACCCTCCTCCCATCTGGCAGGTGTTACAGAAGCCTCTGCTCCCGCACCAGCAGGCTCAGGAAGAGCTGTGACCCTGCTGAACTCCTCACTGCCACTTTAACTGCATCACTACACTGTATTGTACTTTATATCCTAGTATTATTGCACTATTCATATTTGCACCAACAGCTACTGTACAGGTTTTCTCTGCATACTTTTACATACGCTGCTCTCACAGGACATACTACCTACATTTGTACGCTCTCCACTCACTCTGTATATATGTGTATTATATTTATACAGGGAGATTCACTCGAAAGAGGCCCCAAATATTCTGTTCCAACACCCGTTAGGATGAAGCAATCTGAACCAAACGAATATGCTACGTACCTTGACGTATGTGTGTGATCGATTGCATTACATGCGATGTTGGAAGTGATCTCTGCCAGACACATGAAGGGGGTTCATGTGTCTGGGGGTTATGCACCCGGAAGTTGCAAACGGAGGTTAAACCGTTGTGACGGCTGCCCGGCACCTACCTCATCGCTCTGACACAGGGGCATCCCGGCTTGCTCAAAGCTCCATATACCGAGGAGCACATTGCACGTTGTTTCGTTCAGATTGCTTCTTCCTAGTGAGAGTTATTACAGAATATTTGGCGCCTCTTTTGAGTGAATCTCGCTGTACTTGCATATCTATATATTTTTTTTACCACTATATACTGTACTTCTGCACTTTATATGTAAATAATACTGTATTTTGCACTTCTGGTCAGGTGCTAACTGCATTTCATTGGCTCCGTGTACTCTGCACAATGACAAAGTTATATCTAATTTAATCTAATCTACTTGGCTTGTGTTATTATACTCTGGACACTAAAAGGGCTTGAACTACAGGAATTTGGGGGCAGGCTTTGGGGGGGGTGGGGGGGGTGTACTCTTGTTAGTGGTCGATTTTGCCATTATCCAGCACCAAAACTTTAACAGGTTGTCCCCAGATGTGTATTCTTGTTACGAGATCATGCCTGGTCCCGCGAGACTAGCACACTGTAAGCTGCCTTATGCAGTTTGACTGTCCTTGAGTGTAGATCTGTGAGAGCACACGCACCTGCCGAAATCACACAGCTTGAGCACAGCTGTGTCTGGGTCCACCAGCAGGTTCTGTGGTTTGATGTCTCTGTGGCAGACGCCTTGGGAATGAATATACGCCAGACTGCGAAATAACTGATACATATACACCTGAGAGAGAGAGAGAGAGAGAGAGAGAGAGAGAGAGAGAGAGAGAGAGAGAAAAATTGGAAACTGATTTAATAATAATAATAATAATTTTTATTTATACAACACTTTTCATGCTGGTGGCAGCTCAAAGTGCTTTACAGACAGGTGATAAAACATAGTTACACAAGAAATCATTAGTATTTATTTAGAATCAGAAGAAAATGAAAAAGATCAAATTAGAAGATAAACACCACGAGACGCAGTTTTAATTAAATGCTGAGTTAAAGAGACACATTTTTAGATGCTTCTAATAAGAGCACCGAGCTTGACTGTCTAATAAAAGGTGGAATTGAGCTCCACAGTTTAGAAGCATAATAACAGACGCCTCTCCATGTTTTCTGTATTTTACAGAGGGTATTTGTTCTGTCAAAAATGGCGATTTATACAAGCAAGGCAGTGTGATGAGTCATAATAGGCTTAATAAAACGCTTATAACAGCATGCAAAAGCTTTTTTTTCTATTGGCATACATATTACTGATTTAGCCAGGATTAGAACTGATCAATTTTTGAACCAATTAGGTTTTTTCTGACCCTGCTTGATTTCTGTTGCGATTTTATGACATAAATGACACAAATCAGTGTAGCACTTTATTTGACGTGTGTTATTAAAATATTTTTCCTTTAAGACGTCAAAATGCCAGTCTGGCCCATTTAAGGGCCCACATTCTACACGTCTTGTATTTTCTTTTTATTCCCATGACGTTCACTTACCACTTATTGTGGTTTTATGTCCTAAACATGGTCATAATTAATTCTTACATGACCATTTTCCATCCTCTCGTCATCCCTTTGTATTTAACTGGCTGATTTTATTACTAGGTTTTTAAGACAGATATGAGATAAATGAGCACTGTTCTGACTGGATGCTCTGCACTGCATCTCATTCAAAAAGCCCTCAGCTTCAGTGCGACTAGACAGGGCTAAACTGATGCAGGCTGAATAGATGGATGTAGTAAATGGGTTTGTTCTCATAAAATCACATGATGAATTAAAATCAGGCCGTTTTGTGGTTTACTTTTCATATATGGACTGTATGGTAGGTTTTGAAACTATAACGACGTTTACACATTCAAACTCCCTTATTCAAAAAAAGCGAGGGAGATTCAGGCCCTTTGAAATGATATGAGCAACATTGACTAATAGAAAGTACTGGGGCTCAAGTACAAGTGTGACAATTGTTACATAATCACCCGACTGCAATTATGAGATAATCGCAATTATGTAATCTGACTGTAGTTATTTTCCACAATCATAATGTCACAGTCATTTTCTACTGCAACAAGTGTAAAGTGAGCCAGACGCGTTTTCGTTAGATGGCTTAATGTAAATGAACGTGTAAAATCACGTCTTTATTCAAACTCTTATTTTTCAAACTGAAAGTTTTAACTGTGCACTAATTTAGGGGCAACAATTAATTTGATAGATAGGTCACTATAGACCTGTGCATCATCACTATTTATACAACAGTGAGTTTTGGCCACGCGAGCTGATTGGTTGAGAGGCTTTCTAACTGTGCTGATATTTCACCATAACATCACTTTTTTTTTTTCACAAACACTGTATCACTCCGCTGAGACGCCGTTGCTAAGCAACGACTTTGACAGCTGTAGGAGACGCTCAAGCCATTTGAACGTTTTTACTTCTTGCTTTGCCACAAACAGAAAATGGACGCTTTTAAGATCACATTTGACCGACAGCCGATTTGGTCAGACTCTGAAGATGAGACGACACTAAATTCCCAAACTGTCATCACCACTGAGCAGCTTTTCAGTTGGCAGCTGTGACAGAAGAACAGCTAAACAACCTGGAATCAGCCAGAAATGAACCCAACACCATTCGCCAAACTAAACGGGCTGTAAGATGCTTTACAGACTGTCTGGAACAAAACAACATTAATACTGATCTGGCAAAAACTGACAAAACTGAGCTGAACCTGATATTGCGGCAGTTTTATGGCTCGGTCTGTTCTTCAAAAGGCGAGGCTTACAGCAGACTGAGCAGCGAGTGGGCGGAGTTCGTTACTCTGACGTAGCAACGAGCTGCTTGTTAAGGAACTGCGAACATTAAAACATATTAAACGCCGCGTTCACAGCCCAATTTATTAATTTATTACTTTATTTATTTAACTGTTGTATAAAAGCAATACAACAAAATGTTCTCAAATAACATCACGGCTGTGATGATCTACGGTCATGTTATTTCGTGATAACACACTCCCTCTCGTGTTCTACTGCTTAAATCATCTCTTCTTAGTGCATGGTAAAGATCTTGGAAGCAAGACAGCTAACCAGCCAGTTTAGCTGCTTCGGTCTTGTAATTTTGTCGCATAAAGTGAACAAAACAGACAAGTGTTGATCGCAATTAATCAAATAAGTAACCATGAGCTACAATTTCATGATTGTGCCAGGCCTACACATTGTACTTTTTCCCTCTTTTTCCTATTTTTTATTTAATTGTTTTGTCAGTTCCTTATTTCTGCTCCAACTTGTTCCCAAACTTCCGAAAATAAATTACAACACTTATACAGTTAAGAGTCCACCCTTAAGCCAGGCATTTACACCGTGCGATTTCTTCTGCGAAATCTTGTTCTTTGGTGACAACTCATACTGTACGTTTGAATTGCCTATCGTGTATGGCCAAAGCCTGCGATTTATATACTCACACTATACGAAAACACTCGGTCCGACCGACATGACATGGGTGCTCACACTGCATGTGAACCGCAGCTCCTACAGACACACTGTGTACCGACAATTTCCAATAAAGCTCTTTCATTCAAAACAACAGGGTCTCGAGCAAAAACAATGGCTGAATCTCAAATGGCTCCCTGGTTCCTACATAGTGCACCACATATTAAAATAGCGGCTCATGCACCCATACAGTCTATCACACGTCTGATAAATAGCTATTTGGGATTCAGCCATGTGTGCTCGATTCCATACTGGACGAACCGCGCACTATTTTGGTGTAGAAGCCAGAACTTGGTGCACTACATAAGAAGGAAGGGCCGTCTGAGATTCAACACAACAGCTTTGCTCACTTGTGCCACACTGTGCGCTGAAGCTAAAGAGCAGACGCAAACGGAGCAAAGTCGGCATATACGGACGCTGGTGCCACAAATGTGGACTTTTTTGGCTCCGTGCAGGAGCGGTGGCCGTGACTGTGTTTGGTTTTGGGTGCGATTTTGAGAAATCGGTTTGTGAGGCTGGTCACACTGAGACAAGCAACCAAAATTTGACATGTCAGAAATCCATCCCATTGTTTGACTGCTCAGTCAGAGATCGTTTGGGCAGTTAATCATGCATCATTTCTCCTCCCACACTGCACAGCAAACGACGACCCATTAAGCTGAAATTCGGCCCAATCATGAAATTCAGTCAAATCAGGCCTAAAAACGGCCTAAAACCGCACAGTGTACGCCTGGCTTTACACACACACCTGTACTAAAGGAGGGAACGTAGAGTGTGACTGAAGTGAAAGGCCGAGCTTAGCACTCACTTTGACGTAGATGATGGGTATGGTGGTCTTGGCCTTGTTGAAGTGGCGCGCCACCCTGTACACGGTCTCTGGTACATAATCCAGCACCAGATTCAGATACACTTCATCTTTCTAAGAGAGACAAGAAGCAAGAGAACAAGAAAGGTGAGAAAGATCAAAGGTCCAAATATTACAATAAATCCAAATAAATAAAACTTATACCGCACAGAATGTTTTGCCATTAGCCCCCCCAAGCGTAGCAACATTATAATAAGAAAATAAATAAGTTTAGACTCACTACTAATTAACTGAAAGCATATTAGAATCTTCATACTTGTCAACAAACTGGTTTTATATAACTGAAAACAGTGGTCTACAGTAGAGCGAGTGCTGGCCGATGTGTTGCTGTATTGCAATCATAATGTAGTGAAAGTAACTGCAACACTGTTTAGTTGAATGATTAGTTGCACATTATTCTCATAATGCACTGTGAGCACCTTGACCAACCTCAGACGCTCCGTCAATGTTAACAATCTACCGTTGGACAAAGCGAGATATTCCTATGATCCAACAAATAAATTAAAGCAAATAATTTCTCTGCCAATTAATGTAAGATTACATTTTTTGTACATTTTTGTCATTTTGATTCATTCACCAGTGCATTTTAATATATCTGTCAGGCATTTTGCAATCACCATACGCAGCTAACTACCGTAGCTGTGTGTTTAAAGGGGAATCCCACCAATTTTTCCAAATTTCAATCACTGAGAGGGAAGAAGACATTCAGAGCGGTTTGACGTAAAAGGGTTCATTGTAGAGACTCTACAAGAAGTGGTGGTAATGGGAACCAGAGGTTGCACTGCCTGCACCACAGATGCAGCCATTTCTGAGTTTTTATATGTAATGTTGATGATGGTGAAGTTTTCTTCGCTGACTATTTTCCCTTTCAACCATGAAAGGGAATGGGAATAATTATTAATTAATCAAGATTAAGTGACCCTTATTAGTCCCACAATGGGGAAATTTCACCTCCGCATTTAACCCATCCAAGCAGTGAAACACCACATACACACTAGTGAAGACACACACTAGGGGACAGTGAGCACACCTGCCCGGGGAGCAGTTGGGGTTTAGGTGCTTTGCTCAAGGGCACTTCAGTCACGTACTGTCGGCTCAGGGGATCGAACCGGCGACCTTCCGGTCACAGGGCTGGGTCCCTAACCTTATAAATATGTTATAAATGTAAATATGTTATAGACCGAAAGCTCATTACAAAACTACTGCAAAACAAGTTTGTAGGCATCAGGAAATCTATTGATAAACATTTCATATAGTAACTTTCTGAGACGGAGCTTTTAAAGTCAGTAAACTCTTTAGACGTCTGGTTCCTATCACCAGCACTGTGAACCATTCTGCCTACGTTTCTCTAGAATGAAGCATTTCACATCAAACCACTCTGAATGTTTACATCCTATCTAAATTATAGCAAAATTTTGAAAAATCGGTGGAACTGCCCTTTAAAATCATGAAGGAAAGAATTCCATAGACTGTGATGGACAGAACAGCGTTTTCAGGCGGATACCTTCTCTCCGCTGGAGTAGAAGAAGTAACGTAGCCTAACAATGTTGCAGTGGTCCAGCTTCCGCATGATCTGTAGTTCTCGGTTCTGCACGGAGGACAGACAGAGAGAAAGAGGAGTTAACAATAAGGTCTACTTTCAGCATTTGTGAGGTTTTATGTTCCCAGAAAGTCATAATTCAATTTACATGACCTAAACTGCTGTAAGCTGAGCAGACTTACACATAAATATATACATGCATTGGATGTTGTGACATCACAGAATCAGCGAAGAGCTGTTTTTGCAGCTTAGCTTCCATATATGTGCAGAAAAGTGAACAGGAAGCGTTTAAAGTTAAACAGTGTTTACATACAACATCAACTCAAAGTCTGTAGTTTTCCATGATATGGGCCCTTTAAAGGAAACAGATTCTGACAAAACTATACAAGATTAAAAGGCTTCTTTTAGGAGTTAACAATTCTGAAATAAATGTGTTTAATACGATAAGATTAGCTTACAACTCAATATGAATCATTTAAATATGAATTAGAAATATTTTAAAAATAGGAAAAAGAGGCCTGGTACCTTACTGCTTCCAGTGGATTCACTAGGATGCAGTAATAACCAAATAATAACCACAGAAAAACCTTCATTTTCGCACTTCTAATGACCAAAACATGAGCAAAATTTACAAAAGTTAGCATCTATGAGTTTTTTCCATACTGAAAGAGTGATACGTAATCACAACAGTGCATTTAAAACTGGAGAAGCAAGTTTTCCCTCTGGAAAAGTTTTATTAGTGGGTGGCGTTTCTGGTTGATTTGGCAGCCAACCAGTTTAAAGAAAGTAAACAATCAAACACCATGAACAACAATCCGTGCGTCACGGTTCGGTTGCAGTGTGCCTTTCTGTTTGCTGAGGAAAAGGAGGACTGCCGGGAGTAGAGCACCACTGATTAAGACTGAAAAGCAGTCTGCCTATTGATTTCTATGGCCAGGGAACACTGAGTGCTGGTACACTTACAAATACACATCACAGTACTTGTTATAATAAATGCAAATTAACTTCTACATGTAATCGATCAATTAGGGTGGGCGGTACAGCAAAAATGTAACATCACGATACATAAGATAGGATAAGACAATCCATTATGAGACCCACAAACGGGGAAATTCAGTACTGAAGAAAATTAACAAGCAAATAATTAACCTTGTTAGTTACTTAACAAGGTTACAGTTTGTTACTTGTTGCTATAGAGACATTATAAAAATTACTGAAGGTAAAATATAAACTCTATATTGTTAATTTTGTGAGGGATAAACAATTATAAATATTAAAACGCAATAAATATTTACACTGTAAGGATATTTTACTCAAATTGCACACACAGTATTGCACATGAGCTGCACGATGTCACAGTATATTTTATGAAAGACAACGAGGAGCCCCATTTAAAAATACCATCAAAAGCTATGGATGATTTACACCGATCAGGCATAACATTATGACCACCTCCTTGTTTCTACGCTCATTGTCCATTTTATCAGCTCCACTTACTATATAGGTGCACTTTGTAGTTCTACAGTTACAGACTGTAGTCCATCTGTTTCTCTGATACTTTGTTAGCCCCCTTTTACCCTGTTCTTCAGTGGTCAGGACCCCCATGGACCCTCACAGAGCAGGTACTATTTGGGTGGTGGATCATTCTCAGCACTGCAGTGACACTGATGTGGTGGTGGTGTGTTAGTGTTTGTTGTGCTGGTACGAGTGGATCAGACACAGCAGTGCTGCTGGAGTTTTTAAACACTGTGTCCACTCACTGTCCACTCTATTAGACACTCCTACCTTGTCGGTCCACCTTGTAGATGTAAGGTCAGAGACGATAGCTCATCTGCTGCTGCACAGTTTGTGTTGGTCATCCTCTAGTCCTTCATCAGTGGTCACAGGACGCTGCCCACAGGACGCTGTTGCCTGGATATTTTTAGGTTCTCAGTCCAGCAGTGACACTGAGGTGTCTAAAAACTCCAGCAGCACTGCTGTGTCTGATCCACTCAGACCAGCGCCACACACACTAACACACCACCACCACGTCAGATGAACTACAGTCTGTAACTGTAGAACTACAAAGTGCACCTATATAGTAAGTGGAGCTGATAAAATGGACAATGAGTGTAGAAACAAGGAGGCGGTCAGAATGTTATGCCTGATCGGTGTAATACATCACAATAATGATAAATATTGTCAATATTGTCATATTGAGCCCTATGATCTCCCCACTCACTCCATAACCCATGTATGAAAACTAAGCTGCAAATACAGCCCATTTTGAATTCACTGCTTCTATAAATTGGCAAAAACAACACGTTTACATATATCCACCTATTCAGCCTACAGCAGTTTAGCTCCTCCCACTCACACTGAAGTTATAAAGAGTGTTTCAGCCCAGACCGCTTTTAAATGAACCACAATACAAGGCAGCCAATCAGAGCTTTTAAATACATCAGTCTTAAAGGTGCAGAAACAATTCTAATTTATTCTAGGGGATAAAAGAAAGATTGAAAAATGGTCATGTAAAAATGAATTGACTGTTTTTGGCACAACTTGTAATGTTTTTGCTGGTGAGGTTAAATTGCTTGTTATTATTCTGATTAACTAATAAAATATGTGAATACAGTCCCCCATTTTTATGTGAAATGCCCCTGGAGTCTGATTTGTGCCATCATTAAAAAATAAAACTACCCACAAAAAATGCAGAGAATCACTTTAGGATCATAACATAATACAGCAATTCTGAAATTGTGCCAATCACTCTTCGGTCATTATGTTATTACTGTTGTGAATATATATGAGTGCTGCTGTGGTCAGTCTTACCTTAAACCTCTTGTCCTGCAGAACCTTCTTGATTGCCACCATCTCCTGGCTGTCGATGAGCCGGGCCTGATACACCACTCCAAACGAGCCATTCCCAATCACCTTAATGTCCGTATAGGACACTTCCTGAGGACGATCGGGACCTTGCCCAGGTGTGGCTACCACTGTGGTCACCTTACCACTGTCCCCTAAACACAAAAAGACGGGCCAAAAGGTTATTTTCCAAAGAAAGGGCAGTATATATCTACACTGCCAGTCAGAAAGAATTGCTCACATGCTCATATGACATATACCGACGTTTAGCAACTGTTTCTGATCCTGTCTGTTCACTTAAAGGACCACAACACAACTTCTCTGTGGTTTTACCACGTCACCCGCTGAAACGGATTAGCAGAGAAAGGAGCTGGAGGTCAATTAAGAAGCTCCTCAGCCTGCAGGTTAAGGTAAGGAGTAACTTCTCAGTCCATATTCGTGGCTATTTGTTTCTTTGAACACTAAAAACATGCTCCAACAGTGAGCTGGTGGCTCATATACAGACACCTACAATATTGGCCATCATTGGAAAATGGCTTGTTAACCTGCCATCATACTGCCTACAATCCTATCATCAATCGGTGATAGCTGGGGAGTGCAACCGGACAATAGTACATATAACTTGCAAGTAGTGCTGGGCGATATGACCTCAAATCAATATCGCGATTAATTGATTGTTTTACCTCGATTACGATTAATGAACGATTATTTGGTTTTGTTTTTTTGCGCTCATAGTTAACTGACAAGGTTTGTGCTGTAAATATGTTCTGCATATCTTAATGCAAATCGTCTCAACAGCCAGATCGGAATTCACGAGACCTTTATGTCAGTCCAACTCGAAATTCGTCGTAATTTTGCGCTGCTGAGACCTTTTTGTACATTTCTGTACAAAAATTAGAAGAGACTCATCCAAAACCCTCCGTGTTTGAAGAGATTTTGATAGAAATGTCCGAACGCGCCCGGAGGAGAACGAGGCTGCAGCGTCAAAGAACAGTTAAAAGTCTGAAAGCAAAGTTTAAAGAATCCAAGGACACAAACCAAAGAAGTGACCGCGCCCTTTTACGGCTCGAACACATTCTGGGTGATGAGTCCAGCTGTCAGTCAGTGAAGCTTCATGATGGCTCCTGTGATGCTGGTGAAGATGAAGCTGGTCCCCCGTGAGCGACTGGCGTTCGTTCGTGGTCAACAACATGAATGCTGTTCTTTTGTGCATGCCAGTCAGTTTAGGAGCTGATCTGTTCAGACTGATGTTGCATAGTCAGTCAGTCATACAGTTGCATGCAAATCAGATTTGGTGAGAAAATCAGAATTGGGCCACTTTTACCTGCTGTGTAGATAAAGCGTTAACGTCGATGTCGCAGACTGGACGTGGCAGAGTCACGTGACGACACGCGTGATAGTAATTTTTTAAGTGGGCAGTACATGAAGATGGGCAAGATTATGTTGGTTAGAAGTTCTGAATGTCGGTTTCGATTTCTTTTTGATTAAATCGCCCAGCCCTACTTACAAGCCTATTTACGTGACAAACAAGCTAACAATAAAACAGCCACGCATTCTGACTAATTCTGATATTCTTGGTATTTTCTCCTCAGTGGACAATGTGCCACCATATTAGCTTAGCAGAAGTCTCTTTTCACTGCATCTGGACCGAGATAACATCAGCTACAGTAGTTAGCGTAGTTGCAAACAAGTCACACCAAAGCTGGTCACATCGTCTCTGCCTCTTAAGTGAGAAGGGCCTGGCTGCAGACATCCACTCTCAGCCTGACACGCACCGCCAGCCTCTTGATAACATCAGTGCCGCTCTGCCACAACCGTGTTTTGGTCGGTTACTTTTTGATTAAATCGCTCAGCACTACTTACAAGCCTATTTACGTGACAAACAGGCTGACAATAAAAGAGACGTGTATTCTGACTAATGCTGATATTCGAGAATCCGTAAGAGTTCATAAACCAATATGTTTACTAACTGCAGGGAAGGAAAAATCAACAGGAAAAAAAAAAAAAAAAAAACAGCAAGACGGCTGTGCAAAAAACCCACAAATGTGAGAAATTTCTCTGTTAAAAAATTACAATAACCATGTATTTTCTTAGTTTAACGTTGTTTCAATGTATTATGGTCCTTTTCTTCATAACAAGCATAAAAATCACTGGTAATATGCTGAGGTCTCGGTAGTTAGCTAGCTAAATTTCCTGCTCCACCTTAAATGGTGGAATGGGAAAATTCAAACAAGAAGCTGGTGAATATCTGACTTCAGCTTCACATCACTGAAGAATTAGGGGTGGGCGATAATAAATAATTGCCCCCCTCTTTGAAGGCATATGATTTCCTAAATGTAACTAAAGCCCAGCAGTGAGGAGCTGAACTTTACCCTCCTCTGCTGTCACTGCAGACTGGCAGGGTCGCCTACAGAGCAGCACTAGTAGCTGTTAATGAAGTAATCTTTTTATTTGAGGGTCCCATTTCATAGAGGAAGATTTCAACCACTACACCTTATAACTCGGTTCCAAGGAGCAAAGTGACACTTGAAAACAAGGGGTGGGGGTAAAAATAAGAAATGGGATTAGACCTTACTGTTTAGATGAAAGCACTGGAGGTTAAAAAGCTTTTAGAATAAAGAGCCAAGGAAACATTAGTAGGTTTTCATGCTGGATGAGTAACAGAAGCTGCCTCTTCAGATGAGCTAAAGTGCTATCACTAACCGGTACAGTGCTGGACGCTTGTCTTCTTGGTATTTTCTCCTCAGTGGACAATGTGCCAACATATTATCTTAGCAGAAATCTCTTTTCACTGCATCTGGACCGAGATAACATCAGCTACAGCAGTTAGCAAAAAAAGTCGCACCAAAGCTGGTCACACCGTCCCTGCCTCTTAAGTGGCTGCAGACATGCACTCTCAGCCGGACATGCGCTGCCAGCCTATTGATGACGTCAGTGCTGCTCTGCCACCACAGTGTTTTTGTTGGTTTTATGAGGAAAAACACGAACTTCTGGGCAACAAGAGTTACACTGAATGTATATTAACATTGCCATAGTGATAATCATGTAATTATATATGGAAACTTTCAAAATAAAACCTACCACGATGATCAGACATGAATGTCGGGTTTATTCTCAGAAAAAACAAAAACTACTGAAACTAATGAAAGCCGGGCTGAAGACGATCAGACCCGTAAAAACTGTAATATTGATTAAAATAGAGCTTATTAAGGATTCTAGGAGGAGCTGTGACAACATACAGTCAACGTAGTACTGATTACTTTTGCTGTCTGGTCAATGTCGTCACAACCTCCTCGAAAGCTGTCAGACAACGTTGTCGAAACTTTCTGAGGAATTACATCTCAACGTTGTGACAATATAGAGGACACCAAGCAGACGACGCTGAAGGCACCAAAACAGTACGTTGTCTCAACGTAACTGCGTTTGCAGGGCTGTTAGGAATAAAACCTGATGGTTTACACTGGTTTATCCTTTACACTGTGATATCATCCCATCAGGAAAACACAGAATACCATTAATGACTACTGAAAACCACCAGGAACCACCAGACACTTTTAATGGGTTCTATGATTTTTTTCAACAGGGAGGTGCATTAAATGTAACTCTCTAGCTGTGTTATGGACGAAAAATGATTAAGTGATGATGTCGCTAAGCAACAGCCAAAAGCTACCGTGTCGTTGGGCTTCTGCCATTGTGGCAGAGAGTGCATGTGCACGTGACGTCACTGGGGCTGAGAGTGCAAGTCTGCAGCCAGACTCTATTGTCTTAAGTCACGTCCTTAACAATGCATCCATGTTCACACACACACACACACACACACACACACACACACACACACACACACACTTACTTCTCGGCAGAAAAGTGAAATAATATTACACTCCAGCAGGTGCTGGTAACCCAACACCTGTGTTTAGTTTGGATTCCTCCTTCATTATGAAGCAAGGAGCACAACTTATCGCTGAACCAGCAGGAACACGCCCTTCAGCGTATTTGAAGCGAGGTGGAGAGAGAGACCCGCGCCTGCAGTCTGAGATCAGGCGGACAGTTTCTGGGTCAGCGTCTTTTAACTTTGAGCAGAACGAACAGGGAAGCATCTAATCCCGGAACGGCTCTTCCAATTCAACACGCTTTGAGGACACAAGCCCACAAATCCCACAGAGAACACTGACAGAACAAAGAGAAGGTCCAGGAGCAGGAAAGTCCCAGAGCGGCAGAGTCTTCCCTCATTCACTTACAGTAAAGTTATTTTTAACATATTTTAAAACATCAGAATCCAAACCAACCGTTACTTGGCGAATGATCACCTCAGCGACATTCTCCATCACATCCGATTGTACCTTAAGTCAGCATGAATGGGAAATTAAAGCATTTTCTCTCTGTATCATGACATATTTCCAAGGAGGGGCCTGGTGGAAGGGATGTACAGCTTCCCTGTACCAGTGGTTGGCTACGTGGTAAAAATATATCATGATACTTCAGAATATCGTCATGGTATTTTGAAACACGGACACCACGCATTACCAGTGGCAAATTTAAATACAGCCAACAAAAACTATGAATACAATGATTTTTATTTAATGTTTTATATACTGTGCTGTAGGACTTATTATGCTCTCTTTATATAGAAACTAGGGCTGGGCGATTCATCGAAAAGTAATCAAAACCGACATTCAGAACCGCTAACCGATGTAATCTTGCCAATGTCGGTTATTTGGATTTTTTTAAGTTCTGTTAATCCTTTCCCCACTCTGTGTGTTCGTGTACTGTCCCCTTAAAAACTTTCTACCACGCGTGTCGTCACGTGACTCCGCCACGTCCAGTCTGCCACATGGAAGCTAAGGCTACGTTCACACAGCAGGTAAAAGTGTCCCAAATCTGATTTTCTCACCAAATCTGATTTTTTTGTTCGGCTGTTCACAATATCTTTTAAATGTGATGTGTATGTGACATCAGTCTGAACAGATCAGCTCCTAAACCGACCCGCATGCACAAAAGAACAGAGCTTCACGCGGCTCATCCAGAGGTCAACAATCATGACTATGAACGAGCGCCAGTCGCTCACGGAGGTTCAGCTTCATCTTCACCAGCATCACAGGAGCCATCATGAAGCTTCACTGACTGACAGCTGGGCTCATCACCCAGAATGTGTTCG